AAAAAAAAAAAAAAAAAAACTGACCTTAAGCAAAGCAATATGATCTCCAACATTTCCCGTGTGGAAATTCAGACGGGCATTGTCTGCATGAACCTGCTTGTCCTTAGGACGATAAAATATCGAATTCCCAATAGAAAGCATCGCAGCAATAGATATGACCTCGTCCGAGCACTGGTACTTTTCAGACACGACAATCATTTTCGACAGCATAGGATCAAGCGGGAATTCAGCCATCCTTCTACCCACTTTCGTCAACTCGCCATGTTTATTAAGAGCACTCAAAGCATAAAGCAACTCCAAAGCCTTCAACAGAGCTTCAGACGGTGGAGGGTCCATGAAGTCAAAGTTCAGTAAGTCATTAATGCCAAGGCTCTTGAGAGTAAGAACAACATTAGCCAAATTTGTCCTTTGTATTTCAGGAACAGTATTATCGTCTAGATCGTGATGGTAGTTATAAGCAGTGTACAGTCGAAAGCATTTTCCAGGACCCGTCCTTCCAGATCGACCCGCTCGCTGATTGGCCGATGCTTTCGAAATTGGAGTGACTAATAAAGATTCCATCCCAGTCCTCGGATTGTAAGACTTCATTTTTGAAAAACCCGGATCGATCACATACTTAATCCCGTCAATTGTTAAAGAAGTCTCGGCAATATTAGTTGCCAGGACTACTTTACGTGCCCCTTCAGGAGTGGGTTCGAATATCTTGGCCTGAAGCTCTGTAGGCAGATTGGCATAAATAGGGCATATGATGAGCTCGGCTATTTTCGTTCCTAGCCCTCGGGTCCTATGCTTGAGAATCTCTTCGGCAGTTTCGATTTCCTCCTGACCCGTTAAGAAAACGAGAATGTCGCCATCTCCAGGAGGCTGAGTCACGTGAATCTGAAGAGCGGTAACAATAGCAGCGTCGAGGTAATCGGCTTCAGGAGCTTTGGTGTAATGTATTTCGACAGGAAATCGCCTCCCGGGTATTTTGAAAATCGGAGCAGAATCGAAATAATCGCTGAATTTTTCTGCATCGAGCGTGGCACTCGAGATGAGCAATTTTAGATCGGGACGAAACCGAGCGATATCCTGCCATGGGAAAAACATATAGTCTGAGAAATATATACAATTATCGCTGTAGATTTTTGAGAAATATATACAACTATTGCTGTAGATTTTTATTATACACTCAATATTATCAATAAAATTAAATAATAGTACCAATCAATTATTCTTACACATCACATCAACTTTAATTTACTATTCATCCACTCACATAATTTTAACTATCACTTCACACCATCTCTCTCCTACTTTTATATCAGATCAACTTTAATTATTTTATTTTAAATATTATTTTAATATAAAATCAATATTATTTTAATATAAAATCAAAATTCCACTAACAACTAACCATACTACTTTTAACAAAATTAACTTCGGTTAACAAAAAAAAACTCATTCTTAGTGGATATATTTGTATACAAACACGCCCTAAGAAATGTGAGTTGTAAGGCCAGCATGAGGTGGTAATAATAATAATAATAACAATAATAATAATAATAATAATAATAATAATAATAATAATAATAATAATAATAATAATAATAACAACAACAATTAACTTCACCTTAACCAAGCCAAATAGAATATCTGTTGAGAGCGTTCTTTCATGGGCCTCATCCACCATCACCACACTGAAAATTACATTAAAAACTATTTAGTAACAAGTTTCATAGGAAAAATCTAGGACATCTGATATTGAATGCACCTGTAACTTGCAAGGTCAGGTTCTCCAAGGAATTCACGTAGCAACATTCCATCGGTCATATATTTTAAAACCGTCTTATCTGAAGTACAGTCTTCAAATCTGATAGAATACCCAACCTAAAACAAAGAAAGTAAACCACAAGTTAACATAATATCTCGGCTAAACCAACAGTAGTCGACACTGATAGCCTGCATAGAAAACCAAATCAACTGACAAGATTCTATTTAAACCATTAAAAAACTTTTTTATGCTTTCAAATCAAAACTAGTTGACCTCAAATGATCTGCCATGAGAAGCAATAAACAGTAAAAGAAGAAATGCACACCTCATGCCCGAGTTTTACTCCCATTTCCTGAGATACTCGAGCAGCAACACTCATAGCAGCAACCCTTCTCGGCTGGGTACATCCAATCTGATCACCACAGATGTTACAATCATCAGCAACTAAGTTCCATGTAAACCAACAGGCAGTTTCCACAGTACTTTTAGAGATTATATATTCGTTCTCTAAGGGAGAAAATGAGATGATGCACTCACCAAGCCCAATCAATTCAAGAACTAGTTTCTCAAGAAAGTAAACAAAGTCAAATAAAATACTAAGTTGGCATATTAGCTAGTAAGCATTGCATTTAAATACCAAGTAATGTTATTTCGCATGCTAATGATTAATAGACAAGATAAAGGTAGTAAATATGCAGGTCAGAAAAATATTTGTTAGAATATAAAGCTGATAACAAAGTAACTAACAATTTGAAGAATATGAAATCTCAGATTGGTATTTATGTGTATAGATTGCACAAGCCCATGTACCTTTCCTCGGGCAGTATACCCTGCCTCATGGAGGTACTGAGGTATCTGAGTAGTTTTTCCAGAACCCGTCTCCCCAACAATAACAAGAACCTGCGATATGTTTGATCAATCAGTATCAATTTGGTGGATCATTTGGCATAATAAAGACGTAAAACATCAACAAAGATTTTGTTAATAATTTCTGTCTTAGTTTATTCTATATGAGAAAGTAAACACATAAGCCCTTTTCCATGAGTAAATTAAGGAAATAAAAGAAAATTGACTACAGTAAGAGAAAAAAATTCAGAAGTTGACTAAACTGTCTAGGTAAGATGATTATCAGACATGAGTCTAAATATACAGGTAAAATAAATCGGCAATCACAATGGTTTCTGTGAAGCAACTCACTCTCCCGTAAAAATGGGATTTTACCCAAATTAGCAAACAAACCCAGAAAGCAGTCATGCCTGGTGATCATTAACAGCTTGGAGCAACTCCTCTCTGTAAGGATAGACTGGCAGCGTTTTTCTGTCACTCTGAAAGATAAAAGGCCAAAGGAAAGGTCAACGCTATAGTATATGGTTCTGGCAGAAAACTACAACTAATTTAATGGTTTACAATAATCCAAAAATCCATAGCCCTTCCGTTGTTATCCCTGCTTTTACTAAAAAAAAAAAAAAGAAAAAGGGTTTATATATGTAACTCACCTGTAGCTTTTCAAATGCTGTCTTGGCAGCAGAAGCCTCTGGCGACTCCACAGATAGTTCTTGATCAATCTGCAGACCAAAATGAAGATATCAAGAAAATAATAACTAAATTTTAAAGGATTGTGTTAGGATAAGTTGATATACATACATTTACACCATCCATCACATTTGTCTTAATAAACTCTATTTGATCTTCAAACACAAACCTGCACAAGTGAATTGATTATAACAGAAAACAAAGAAGGTCGAAAGTTCTCAACTAATCTTAATGCGACGAAACACAACCTCAATAGATTATATAGTTAATAAACCAACTCATGTGATCCAATTATACACTGCTATAATTAAATAAGTATGGTTGGGGCCAGCAGTGGTGTTCGTATTCCTGAAGTCAATACCAGGATACACTGAAATAAAGTCATTTGAACTTACTCGTAATCATCATGCTTTTGCTTTTTATCCTTGGACCCGAATTTAAGAGTTGCTTTGCCTGAATCATATTACATCATGTGATTAGCGATTGGATATTATCAATTAACTATAAATAAAAGCACGTGTCAAACACGAATTACCAATCTGATGATCCTCCCATGCTTCTTGTTCAGCAAATGGGTTCATCTTTTCTTCTGCAGCAGGATCCCTGAACGAGCCAAGGGAAAGTTAAAAAAACACCAGTCGATTCGTATTCAAAGTCAATAATTGAGAGTAAGCTGAGGCTGCAATGATATCATTGGTAGTAAAGCATCTAGTGCAATAGAAGGCACTATAAGTTACCTGTAACGCTGCATTGCTACCGCAAATCTTTTTTCTTGATTAACACCACCATCCATATCATACGCATCAGGCATCCTATACTGCATTCAACCAAAACAACAAATGTAATGAACTTACATAATAACAAAATTAAGGCAAGTAATGACGATGGAAAATATATATAGCTACTTCAATTCAATCACAGCCAATCAACCAAATAACAAAATTCCTAGTGAGATTATGCCAAATAACCCAACAGTAGCTCAACTAGATACAAGAAACATAAAATATGATGCTATAATATGTTGCTATAGAGTATAGCATAGATATGCAAACATATATGCATATAATGACAAGAGTCTAACAGAATGTACCACAGGTCAAATTGACAAAGAGCCACTTGAATGTCACTAAAAGGACCACTTTGAAACATATATTAGATAGGGGTTTATCACCTCATTGGCGAAATCAGATTCTTCTGTCCTCTTCTTGACAAGATCATAAATTTGTTTCTTATATCTGCAAAAAGTAAAATTCCAAGATGTCAGTTGAATATATCTGAAAATTGACTGAATGAAGCATCAACATTTCTAGTTTGGAGCACAAACAAGGCCATAGAAGTGAAGTACATTTGCTGTAAGCCTGTAACACACAAATGCTTACATAGTTTAAGCACATTGTTGGCTATCATATGCAAAAGGCCAATAACACCAAGAAACACAACAGGTTTTAGAAGAAAAACATCATGAAACCATGTCACAAGTTAAGCAAATGGCAAAGTTTGTGTAATAAAGATTATGACAAAAAACAGACTCCAAAAAGTCTCAATTAATTACAGAATTCATGGAAGTTCACCAGGTGTCATGCAAATTGAAGTGGGAAATATCCAGATTCGCAAACCTACTTCAGAATAGCATCAAGCAAAAGGGTGGTTGCCATTGAGAATGGTACATAGACAACAAAAGCTTAAAGATGCAAATCATCAACGGATCATCTAAATTCTGATTGGGATGCCTAATATTATTTCCTAAGAAAATAAAGTATAATTTGCCTTGGCAACCATAGAGTAACAGCAGATGCAAACTTATTAAGAATAATACTAATAGTAATATAAAACCATGATAGAAACAAAATGGAATTAGTAATATAAAACCGTGATAGAAACAAAATGGAATTACGGATAACTACCTTAATTCCTGCTGCTCTGCTTCAGTCAACTTGACACCGTCGAATAAGTATTGCTCATCTTCAATATCATCTCTGGATCAAGCCAAATAGAATAGAAAATTTATAAAAGAAAAAATATCAGATGCTTTCTTTAAACTGAAACTGAATATATCAAATTTCATTACCTGAGTTCTTCTAATTTCTTCTGCTCTCTTTTCTTCAAATACTCTTGCCTTGACACTTTCCTGGTCCAGAGAAAGAGGAGATGGACAGCATAAGTGGACAAACCGTACCATATCAGGCATTCTACAAATAAAATCTTATGCATATACTTCAGATTGTAAACTTCAATTAGCTTGATTATAATTATGACAGCAAAGAAAAGAAATGTATCAGATATTTCGGCAAAGAACCTTCACAATCCAAAAGTACCCCCCTTCTCTAACCTCAGTCTAAATTGCATCTGAAAGATGACACAGTCGACCTAAGACAAACTATTCAACTCTCATCCTGATATCTTTTCAGCCGACCACCGTCACCGTAGCCAACTCATTGTCTTTTAATGAAGACCAGAAAACAATTACAAGAAGTTTTCATTCATGCAGCACAGATCACAAATCCGCCAAAGACTAATGTCATAAAAGAAGAGGTGCATCTAGCATGATTGCATGAAGAAAAACAATACAAAGAATAGAATACCAAGGAAAGCCAAAATTTGGGAAGAAGCCTGTCCTGAACTTATAGAATTGATACTGTCATTGTTTTACATTGGCTGGAAGTACAGTCCACACTCCACACAAACAAAGATCCTAACACGATGGAGACTTATTCCAAAAGCCGATACATCTATCTATCTATCGATAAATATACACACAAACATATACAAATAAATGAATCCAAATATGCATAAATCCTTTTCCAAGTTCCAAAACTATTATGTGCCTTTCGGAAAAAGAAAGTATCCACAGAGTGCAATGTGTGCATCTGACGCCGACATGACCCACATGGGCATCATGGCTCATGAAAAGAGTAGTCTGAAACCTTATTGGGTTATCTATAGTCATAAATATCCAAAAATGTGTTGTGAGAACAAAATCATTCAAATACAATTGACATACCAATTATGATATTACGTGACCAGAAAAAATGATGATAGCTTAACCAAATTTCAAATACAAATCCTCATAATAACATTCATATATTAAAAAATTAACATGCACATGAGCTATCATTTTTTCTACAACCAGACAAAACTAAAAATCCCCTGGAACAAAAGGGCCTTTGGTCTCCTAGAAATTAGAATCTAGATAAGATGAAACTTACACCATGAGAAGCACAATAAAGATAAGCTACTGTTTTATCCTAAGAGTAATAAATCACACACACTAAACACTGTTGAATAGAGGAAAGATTCAATGACCACCACATAGAGGTACTAGTAAACACAAGTTAAATTGGCAATGTGGCAAACCTTAAAGTCCCAATGCCGTCATCCTCCATTGCTTTAGATCTCCGAATTACCTCTTCTGTTAAGAAATTCACAAACAAGAAAAACTTGTGTTAAAACGTGTAACAT